GGTGGCTCCGTTTCTTAGACTCCATATGTTTATGATAGTTCTAGTCAATGTCCTACAATGTGCCTCTATGGCAAATAGCACTCAAAGGCAGTGAACGCGTGGCTGAAAGGCGCAGGTGTTCTCATGACATCGTTGACCGTCACTAGAGGGGCGTTAGGAGGTAGTTCCAAGCACACATCCTAGCGCGCGAGAGCTCTGACCTACCAATGACGTCATCAAAACCGCTCCGCTGTGAAGCCATCGTGCTCACTACCTTTAACTTTGGGGCGAGTGTTACTTCGACTCCATCAGCTGCACTTAAGCCAACGGGAACTTCTGTCCCTCGAAGTGGCTTAATTAGTAGCACACTCGGGTGAGAGAGTAGCACTATATGTACATCAGCTGGCTTCCGCAACTCACTGTGAGCCAAATCGCATTCGTAATGATATTACGAATCATTATGTTGAAAGAAGGTAGAACATGTGGCGCACCCTGACAAGAGGTTGATCGACCTCGAAGTCTTCATTCTTTATGTCAGACCCTCTTAAAAGTCAAGTTACCTAAGTGCAAGCGATATAGTAAAATCCTGCCTCGACAATTACTGCATAGTCCAGTAGTCCCTGCCACTGCGATCTCTATTCAAAGTACGACGCATAGCGCGATCCGGAGAGAGACCTACCAACATCGGTTTGATTGTACTACATCCTTTGAGTGCAACACAAAAGAAGGTAGTACAATGACAGGAGGCGTTGCTTACTGCTTACTTAGGTCAGGGGATGGAATCCCACCTAAAAAAGGCGAAGTTCTTCATTCATGCGAACCGGTCACTTATACCGTATTTGCCTGGGGGCAAAAAAACCCTGACTCGCTATCACACAGGTCACTTGAATCGGATGCTCCATAAATGGCTGCGCAGTTTGTATGGGGGCCTACTTGTGCATGTTCTAGGTGGAAGTCCCATTCGTGGGTGTTCCAGGTCAGTACTGGGCACTTCCAAATTTCAGTCATTGAAGGAGGATTCCAAGATAAAGTAGAATCGATGAGCTGGAAATATACGTGGTGGAAAGGCAATCCACCCCCCCCTCCCTCCCTTAATGCGCAGAAGGGTTCGCCTCTAGCGGCCTAGCAGGGTTATCCGGCGCTGCTCGCGACGCTCCCTACGACTGACCATCCCCTCGTCTCGTTCCAGTGCGAAAACACTGAGCAAAAAAAGGGGTACGATTTCTCGGGTTTCAGGCTGTTTTCATGGTCTCGCTTTATCCCTCCGTCACTGCCCACCTCTACTTTAGCTTTTCTGATAAGCTGTTTTTTGTCGTAACCACCGCCTTCAACAATTTTCAAGGATGAACAGCTGTGAATTCGGGCCGTCCATCAAACACTACACTCAGTTATTGTCTTGCGATGGGGAGACCTATTGTGGGAATAGTGGCTATGCAAATGCTTTCTGCGCGCTCATCACAATGGTCCAGCTTTCAAAGGGACATTTCTTAGCAGCTCCTGCGCCACTTCGCGGATCTTCGGGTGAGTACTATGTATGCTTCGGACAGCCTTAGCCTGTTCTTAGTTGTTTTCCTCTCATAAATCTCTCCCGGAACACCTTCAACTGCAACCGTGAAAGCTATTAAGCTTCTCAGATGCTAGAATACTTTTGAAGAACCTCCAAAGATGGTTCCAGTAAACGTATGAACAGCAGATCAATCTTCTACAAGGTCAGAGAGTGTTACGTTACGGCCGACTTGGCCGGAGACTGAAAGCGGCGCCACGGCACGTTAACATCGCAGCGATGTGAGATTGCACGATAAAAGGGGTGCCAGCGTCGGACTTTCCATGTCTTCCTTCCCAGATGTCGTCACTCTCCAATTTTGTTTACATTTTTGGGAAGCATGCCTCGCAAGGGTGAAGGGTGAAGCTAAAGCTCTCATGATACAGTGGTAAGGGGTTCACTTAACAGCTGCATGATAGGTGCCTCCGGCACGAATCTCGTTCACTCTCACCAAGCCTTCTGTACTTGTGAGGTCGGTTGAATGGTATTTCAGGACGGAAAATGATCTGCACACCAATTTTTCCGCAATTGCAAGGATAGGCTAAATCACACTCAAGTTGTTAATACAATTTTGAATGGAAGTACAGTGCATGGTGATTGAACAACGCCGCCCCTGCGATAGCCTCATTCTTGGTATGCATTGACAGAGTCATGGCGATAAAAACGAAGAAGGACCGTTCATGAACCTCGACTCTTTTTGCATGTGTTCCTGATGATTTTAGCAGAAACTGCGTCTCCTTTAGTCCGATGTCAGACTTTGTGAATCGAGCGATTCGCTGGCCGCGATCCGACCGTGAACGCTAGCGAATCGCTCGATTCGCAAAGTCTGACATCGTTCTAACTTTCACTTTCGATTTCCTTACAGTTGCATATTACATAAAAACGAGCCTGCGATGAGTAACATTATGTATACGATATTCACTCTATCTTAGTTAACATCGTTCCCTTTCATGTTTTCTCATTCTGTAGTGAAAGCTCTTGCAAGATCGCATCACCCACCTTGAGCGTGACATTGCCACTGTCATTGTCAACACAAGCTGCAAAGTAAACGATACTACTGCCTAGAGTGCATCAAGGGTCGTACTTCTAGATTTTTCTGGCTCCTAGCGCAGCTCTTGTCCCACCGTTGTTGTCTCTGCTCCCTTGTTCTTCAACTTTTGCCCAAAACACACAACCGTCCTTCCACTGCTGCTTGCATTCGTGATCAAAGTCACGCTACCGTAATATTAACAGCTTTTATAGCCTCAGAGGTTCTGGGGAAAAGCTCCGCATCAGATACATTTTGAAATTGCTTCTGAAAAGAAACTTTAGTAGTAGCTGCAGAATTGTGACCTACCCCAATTGGACAGATGAACGCGAAGCACTCTAGGTTTTGGCGTGCACTAAAGTCGACTCCATGAGGCTGTGGTTGACGCTGTGACACTTCCTGTTGACACTATTGATGGATTCTGGGGCAATTATTGCATAGCCTCAGACAGATTCGCTTTTCAAGGGAGAGTCTCTCCAAAACAAGCAGATTGCAGCTTGAATGGTCTGATTTTCTAGTTGAGGGGAAGTCACCTTTTGTTGTTGGCTTGCACTTGCAGACAAGGTGAGAAGGCCAAACTCAAGAAATCGTGATTGGCCCACCTACCAGGCCTATCAGTCTCGACTGACTTGGATCTTGTGCTGAGACCTTTACTACCACCCTCAATAAAAGTAAATCGCCTTGTCCTCGATCTGATTCAATTCCATCAGCATCTCCTAACTGCCGTCTCCTCGTTTGTTCTGCCTATAAATTTTACAACCTGACTGCTAAGCTATTCATTCAGATTTCAAATTATGATTCCCATCCTCAGCAGATTAAAAAATTGTCGTAACGATAGATTTATTGTGCTTGGAAAGGCATCTTTTCGCTTGAACGGTGAAGAGCTCTTAGTTCAAGAAGTTATCTAGCTCTTTCCAAAGGAAGACCAGCCGAGACTCTTTCTGGTTACGGGCAAGATTCTCGCTCAAATGCGCACCTCGCTGTTACCTTGGCCTGTAAAAGAGTCGGTCAGTTCGAGGCGTTCAGACAAGCCGCCACCTCAGGACGCGATGGGAGCGAGGGCTTGAGACGAAGTTGGAGAGCTCGAGGAGCCGGAAAGCGTTCTTATGAGGTCGTAACGCCGAAAAACCCTCACATTATTGTCATGTGATTTGCCTTTGCTTCGGTCAAAACATGACTAGGTGTCCACTGATTCTATGTAGGTTCTAGCCGTAATTTTGCACCCATGTTTTTATTCACCTCTCTCATCTAGAATTCTCACTTTTAACCCTTTGACGACCGCCGTTATGAATGCGTCACTTCACTTCTTTCTAAATTTTTTCATCAATAACCATTAACTCTCCAACAATTTCACTATTAGTTTTAGCGCATTATTCCGCGAATTCGATAATGTATTTGTGTAGTCTTTGAATCATGAAAAATGCCAAAATAAACTCCAAAAAACGTGTCGCACCGAGCGAACGGGCCCACCGGCCCAGGCCACCGCTCGTCAAAGCGTTATGGATGTAACTATCAATTGAAACTCAAATAAAATCTTAAAATAAACACGCGATTTTGCCAGCACTTCCTGAGATTGGTGTGCTGAACTCCCTTCTAATTGGTATCATAGTCCCTTAGTTTTTCTATACCCAACGTGGAACTGCTTCGGAGTCTTTTTATTCTTAAGTCCTTACGAATGCATGCAAATGATTAAAGGAATCTTCCACGGACCATGGACCAGTGGGCGGGACCGGAAGTTTTTGTGACGAAATGCATGGTAGGTACGGATCCACGTGTCGAACGCACGAACGTGAACAGGATTCACTTCAAACCTTCCCATGAACGTGGATCCGTACCTACCATGCATTTCGTCGCAAAACCACTTCCGGTCCCGCCCACTGGTCCATGGTCCGTGGAAGATTCCTTTAAGTCAAATGCTTGTCCCGTGCGCAGCCCATGTAGGATGTAACCATTCCATTTTTTCTTTCATGCTGTGTGAAAGATTTTCCCATGACGCATCCAAAAGCAAGAGTAGGTTGAACATAAGCGCTCCCATGTTCATAATGGCCGTTCTTTTGTTGGATTGAGCCATGTAATCGAATGAAATACAAAAATGAATAGTCCTTGAGTGGTACAAGAAATTTGAGGCCGATATCCTTCATTAACTTGATACTCCGCATCAAGCAAAAAGGCTGTGGTTTCGAATAGACAGCGTTTATAGATTACGTTTTGGGAGATTCGTGGATAAGACGATATGGGGATTCGGCAATTTTGCTGTAAGGAAAAAATGTATTTAATAAGAGGGATTGCTCCATCATCAAATCGCCATTATCGCTGGAGTTGCTTCCAGGAGAGCGCAAATCAATCTATGAAAACCTCATTCTGTCAATAAATTCACCAATTCATCAGATCGTCAAATCGCCTAGATCGCTAAATACAGTCCTTAAAGCTTGACCGCCCAGATGTTGAGTTATGAGCGCTGCCTCACCATTGGTGGTGGCTAAACCATGCACAAAAGACTTGAAAGGTCTGCAGCTGGAATCAAACCAGGGACTAAGCCAACACTTGAACCACTTCGTTCACTTTCGATTCCAGCTGCAGGCATTTTGACCGCTTTTCACCTCTTTGCCACTCACCCAATCTGTTTTACTCTTCCAGTACCTATTTGCCGAGAGTGTTTTTGTACTTGGGATTAGAATCAACGTGACCCTACCCTACTCTGTAACCCGTTTCAATATTGATTCAGCGATTAGTAATGGTAAACCCGTAAATCCTCATAGTGCACACAAGAGGCGAGCAGCTGAGCAGGGCGCCGTTCGACTTTAGTTTAAAGATCGAGTCCTTTCACCTTTCAGAGACCCTGTCGGAACTGGGAGGAGCGCCGTATCATCCTTGTGTTCAATCTCATTCATCTTGTTTTCATTTCGAATCACCACCACAATCGAGGTCATCTAATAAGAGGGCGTGACTAAGCAACCGCCGTCATCACCTTCAGCTGCGCCGTTCAGTTTTATGCGAACGACTTTCTCTTTGTGATTTTCGACGCATCGCCGCTCTTCCGGAATTTTAAGACATTTCGACGAGCGATGCCGTAGTTTCAGCGTCTGTTTCAGTAGTAAAACTTCTTATAAACTAAATAATCTGAAGTGGAACGGCACCAATTTGTCCCTTTTCAGTCACGGTATTTTTAAAATTGCTTCCGTTTTAGTATTTGAAGTCTACCTACGTCAGCTGCAGTAGCCATGCAAAATCTTTTCTGCGGGAATTGCAGGAACGAAACGGTTCCTCTTTTGTTGCGCCACGCCTTCGATAATCGCGGAGACTCCCTAGGGCATTTTCGATCTTTTACAATAACTCCCAGGGGGCGAGCCGATGTTGACGTCAATGTCTCCTATAGCGAAACAGAAGAGATGAATGCGCTGCTTGCTTGGTGAATGTTTCCGCAAGCTGTAGTCGCTCTTACGCTCCTGTACTTGATTTTTGAGTGGTAGCGCGCAGCTGTGTGCCTTATTGAGCTTATTTTGGCATGCCTCCGCATTTCTGTGACCCTGATAAACTCCTTTCAAAGAAAACTCACCCTATGTATGCACTGAGCAGAAGTGATGAAGTGGCAAGTGGTGCCACTCACTCGATACCAGCTCAGGAGCCGTAGCAAGCCCCGAAAGTCTTCGGAGATATATCCCCAACTTCCTTCGGGGCTTGCTGCATACGGCCCCAGGGATCAGAATCGTTCAAATTCTGTCCAGGTTAACCTGGCCTTCTTTACGAAACGAATTCCCGCTCAGGCCAACTAAGCCTTCTTTCTTTCCAAGGGTTGGCTAGTCGGTACTACTAGCATGTGGTCAGATGGGTAGAGGTTTCCTGTGCTCTAGTATACATTACCTTCCCCATATAGGGGAGGGGAAAAAGTCATCCCCCTCCATATTCAAAGCAAATTTAACCACATTTTGCAATCCAAACCGAGTGAGCCCAACTGCGAACTGAAGAGCGCATTGTCATCCAATACGAAAACTACTTAACAGCCTTCTACATCGGCAACATCAAAAGATTTTCCCACGGAACATGTACGTTTTCTCATGGAGGTCTCGAGCGAACGTGGACATTACGACATTTTCTGAAACGCTAGCTGAAAGGGGTCTTGCACAGTCAGAGCTAGTGTCCCAAGAAGCCATTCACGTTAATCGATTGAAGAAATTATGTAGCAGCTTCAGAATGGAGCGATTACGGTAGGCCTCCTTGAGCTCGACGGTGATGGCAGATGACGTCATATTCTGAGACGGTGAGGCAGTGAAGGGGGGGGCCTACTTCTGCTCATGGAGAACATCTAAGGAATATTTGCTGTAAGACGGTCGTCAATATCTGTGCGAAGGAAAGTTCGATGATGTGCACATCATGGGCAAAGTGTCACTTTTTTGCCACTGTATGATATATCGTGTCACAGGTCAAATTCTGGATCGAACACAAACGTCCACGCCGAGGCACTTGACAGGCACTCGTTTTCCACCCTGATCAATTTCGAATACATTTGATTTTTTCGTGGAATTCGTATTCGCTATGATCACAAGCTTTCAGATTTGGGTGCTATACAAGTAGGGTGGGCACGCCGCATTTTTTGAACAGAAATGTATGTAAGTGGGACTGCTGCTCGCTACTATACTGTCACGAGAATCGGGGAATTCGTGAGCCAGGGGGAGTGTAGCCAATAGGGGGTGGGGGGGTGAGGGCAGTCACTTGACATGCGTGATGAAAGCTGGGTGTGCCCACCCCACTTGTATAGAGCCCAGGTTTGAAACCGGATTTCCGATCCCTCAAGCTCGCGGAAAGCCCTTGATTTACTACCTTTTCGAATGATTCATAATAAACCGTGTTCCCCAGATAGGTGTTGATTATATTCGATATTCGTATTCGACCTGAAGCTGTCAAACTTACGCTTCGTTTACAGAATCTTTTTCTTTCAGGATCATTCAAATTTCTCATTTTGCTCGGAACCCCAGCATGCTGAGTGGTCTGGGAAGATCACCTTATTTCAATTATCTTAATAAGAATTGTTTTACTCAAAATTTGTAAGCAAAAAGTTTAGCCTGCGAACTATAAACGGGCACAAACCCGTTGCTTAGTCCACCCCCCCAAACACCCACCTTACTTTCTATTTATAGATCTTCTAACCATTTCCTTCCGTCCTGTTCTTCTAGCGTTGTCAAACATGCTGGTAGCGATCTATGTACAAGTCCTGATGGCAATCTATATCCGCGCCAACGCGTCGCTGTCACGAATCGGGGTGGCCTCTAGGACTGCTTTCTGGCAACGAATCAAAGTGTAGAGCTATTTTGAGACAACTGGCGATAGGCGCGTCCCATCTCGAGCGAAAGACGGGACCGTACCACTTCAGGCGAGCTTCGCGCATCTTATCAGCGGTAGGGGGCACGCTGAACCGCTCTCTGATGGTGTCGTTACGAATCTGGTAAAAACGCTGACTCTGGCAGTCCAGCGCGACATTTCGGTCCCTATTATTACACCGAGACGACCCTCAACTTCTTGGTCACGAGCTCAGCAGTTTGTTTCGGTGAGATGGCAACTGGTCGTATGACGCATAGCCGCTGGTGGATGACGGCTCTGTAGACCTTAGATTTCAGTCGTTCTGATATCTTCTTGTCGCAGAGAATACCAGTAATCGAGCGCCGTTTGGATCAAGCTGTACTCACACGAGAGTATACTTCAAGAACAGGCCGTTGTCGGACACGATTGCCGGTCCAAGACACTTGAAAGTCGTCGTGCCGTAAGCTCAGTTCCGTTGGTCTCAATAGCACCAGACTCATTCGCTGTCAAGTGCTCGCTCTTCTTGACGTATAGCTTGACCATGAGCCCGAACGACGCCAGGCGATCAGATCAAGCTTGCACTTGTGGCTCTGCTTTTGATTGTTGCTTGATTCATCAAAGTGTTCCTACTTGTTGAACAGGAATATGTGTTAAGGTTTCCTTTGAGGCAAAGAAGGATTATTCTATAGTAAGGAGGAAAGCTGTCAGTGCAATACTTTCGTACAGTCTTGGTTGTTAAAATTTTTGCAGGAGAAAGAGCTCCGGGTGTTGAAACCAATCCCCGCTTGGGCAAAAAGGAAACCAGTTGTTTATTAAATATTCAGAATGAATGAAAACGTGGCTCAAGTGTACTTGGGGGATGGGGGCATTGTGGTACAGAGCACACAAAATATTCAAGACCATGGCGAATATTTCCATTTTCATGCTCGTTTGGTTCTGTTCATGCACCAGCAAACCGGTTCCCATACCCGGAACTTCTTCCAAGTCTCCCACTGCAAAAATGAGATTGTTGTTGCTGGGAAGAACTACCGTGCCACGATGCCCCTCGCTCAGCCGCACTTGTGTTCTCATGGTTTCAAACGTATTCGGCGTTCTGCACCGAAGTGCTTCCATCCTTAACGGAATAGATCAGAAAAGTGTTTTGAAATGTAGATTAGTGTACTTGAGGCTATCTGCCTTTCTAAATGCATTGGCATCCTATTTATTGATGTTCGAATTTTCAAAACTCTCTGCAATTTCCTCTTTTCCATTCATTTTCGTTTTCAAACGTCCGCTCTATACGTGTAGAACTAAAATGCTAAGCTTATATCAAACCAAAACAATCGTTTTCAGTGAAGGTTTCGGTTAACACTCAACTTTATCGCGAAGAAGCTCGTCGTGCGAAAAAATGTGCAATGGCTACCGGTGTCATAAAACTGGACAGTATTGCTGAAGCTTTTGAAAAGGTCGGGATTTTTTTTGAATTCCTTTTTCACTGAATGCGGCATTTCTTCACTGCTATACGCATATAAAAAAGCGCTCCGAGTTATCAGTTATCAGTAATCATCAAGCAATGTCAACCACAATTATTAAATATGACGAATTTGTCAGCAGATTGATTCAAAGAAGTTTGGCTCACTGCTGAAAAGCTTGCAGGCCATGGGGGAGGATAAGAGCTGACTAGATGGAAACAAAAAGAAACTAAGGCTTTCGGTTTCCTCCCGATCTCCGAAAGGAAGCCATGTGGAGCAAATAAAGTATTTCCTGCGATGTTCCGTCCTCCAGTCCGAACTCCAAATATAATTTCTTTCAAGGATTGCTCCCATTACCCTTTCGAAAAATCAAAATACAAATCCAGACAACTCCCTAATTGTTAGTTCATATTCAACGTTATCTTCCAAAAAAGAACGCCGTATTCTGTATGCATTTATCAAGGGTCACTAGTAGGTCTGTAGTGGTTAATTTTTCAGCGCAGTCTCACAGCTCTGGAAACTACTAGACGTAGAGGGGGAGATTTTAGTCTATGAGACGAGTTCACACTGGAGACGAACATTATACCAACGCACGTTCACTAGCTGCCACTTATGTAGAAAAAGAAATTGATATTATCACTCAGCGAAATCCACCATTTAATACGCTCTATGGCTTATTGTTCATTAATTTTTTTTTTTTCTTTTTTTTTTTTGAGTGTAAGCCACATAATCATTATTCATTGACTGGTTCTGCTATTATGTCTTTATAATGAATGTGACATTGGTAAACACCCTCAGCAGAAGTCGTGACTAAGAATCAGTTCACTGAGTAGGATAGAGTAGCCTACAAGTGGCACAGATGTCCCATTGTTGCGGCTCGAAAGTGCGTAGGCCTTACAAAGTCAGCATTTGGCGACTAATCTTAGCATTTGGACGAGTTACGTAGCGCACACCCCATGACACGCAACGTGGATTACGGCGTAGCGGCTAATTCAAATGCGCGGGTTAGTTGAGCCGTGGAGCAGGCAATCTTTCGTACAACTCGTCCGGCCCCGCCCCTTCGCTGTTTCTAGGACAATCCTTTAGAGCTTCATTAATGTTTTGCTTCTTTTTTCATGTTTAGTTATTTCGGCATCAGCAACCTCATTGTCAACTGCTGCGATCTCACAAATTCGGTGTGGGGGTGTTACTTTGAAGGCATTTTCACGATAAAGCTGGGTGGATTAATCTTACCTCTAAGTACTAAAAAGGTGCCTATAGAGATAGAAGTGCCGTTCTGACGAATTCAAAGTTTAGGTCGTTTAGTTGCTACTGCGATACTAGATGCAATTAGCATACGTGCATCCTAAAAAGGGATCATTGAAGCAAAATATCTCTCTCAAGCTTTTGTTAATTCTTCAAAATTTTTGCATACTGCTAAAGCTTTGAATAGTATATTTCTTAAGGCTGCCAAACTTTCGCCCCACGGATCCGCCGCCTTATCAACCAATAGCGACCGCTCATCGTCTGGAGTTTCCACGGCCTCGAATTCACCAACATCGTCAACGTCACCGGTGAACAACTTCAGTGATTCACTGCCTGATGGACTCTCCGTACCTATCTCATACAGTAATCCGGTGTTCGAACTTGATCCAGCTGATTATCTAAGGTGAGACTGAGCAAACTAAACTACTACAAACCTATTAAAATTCGGGTTGTAAAAACATGTCGTCAATCTTGTGGTTTCAATCATAAAGGCGTAGTCAACCAAATCTGAGCGACAAATTACAAAGAACCAACGAAAACATT